GCATCGGCAGGCGGACTCCCAACCACTGCGCCACCAGGGAAGCCCTGGGAAAGATTTTTTTAACTTGGAAGGTCAACTTGGAATGAGCGTAGGGCTCGAAGTCGAGAGACCTGGATTCCAGTGTTAGTTCTGCCCCTAATGGCAGCATGACCCTGGGCAAGTCCCTTCACCATCTTGGCCCCAGTTGCTTACATGGGGATGTAAGGGACCAAGGGAGCTGGAGTCCACAGCTGCACCACTCAGCAGCTTTGGAGCTTGTGGGAGCTGCTTGAGTCTTTGGTTTCCTCCCACGTGGAAAGGGAATACTAACAGAGCATACATACCTCACAGGACTATCGCCATAAATGCCAAGTGTTAACACAGTGCCTGTTATATATAATTGCCCAATATATTTTAGCTAATTTTATTTTTTTTTGAGAAATGTCTGCTTAGATACTTGGCCCATTTTATTTAGTTATTTATTTATTTCTTGGGCGCACCGCACAGCATGCGGGATGTTAGTTCCCCGACCAGGGATCAAACCCGCCCCGCCCCCCGCCATGGAAGCGCGGAGTCCTAACCACTGGACCGCCAGGGAAGTCCCTAGCTATTTTTTTATTAGGATCATCATTACTATTATCTTTTACTCTTATTAAATATTTGCAGATATCATTGTGTCAAACAGATGGGAAATTTTCTTTCAACACCAGCAGTAAGAGGGCACTCTTTCCCGACGTGACTCTGAAGGAGTGGGAGCCGTATGTGATTATGTCCTCTTTACGTGGACCCAGGGGTCTTCTCCAGGCCATTCAGAGCCAAAAGCACTGTGAAGATTGTTTCGTGAACATCCCACCAGCTCCATTCCCACACCACCCAATGCCCGGCCACCTCATTAGGAGTAGAGAGAACACATGTGCGGGGGAGGGATGTTGGGTATTGGGATGGTATCCAAGGAGGCTTAGAGGAGGACCCGGTTCCCTGGGGAGGTCTCCCCAGCCAGGCTCTGGCTTGCAGCTGCTCGAAATCTCCCTTCTCTGGGGACAGCGTGGGCCTCACCTCTCCCCAGGGCCACGGAGAGCTGGAGCCTGGTGTGCCAGCCTTGAAGTCACCGTTTTATGAGATGTCTCATTTCAGAACGACCACCGAGTTCCGGAGGGATGGGCGCCAGTTGCCTTCTGAGCTGCCCCGGCTCCTCAGAGACCAAGGGTAGGAAGTAACTGCTTGTTCCACGGTCACCTGTGGGACTCATTCTCTTCTCTCTCATCCCAGGGGCAGCCTCAGAACAAAGTGAGACGGTCCAGCCAGGAGATGAAATCTTACAGTTGGCCAGCACTGCCATGCAGGGCCTCACACGGTTTGAAGCCTGGAACATCATTAAGGCGCTGTCTGATGGACCTGTCACTATCGTCCTCAGGAGGAAGAGCCTCCAGTCCAAGGGGACCACAGCTGCTGGAGACCCCTAGGCCCAGCGCCAGAGCTGACACCAGAGCCAACTGCGTGCAGCTCTCCACAACTGCTAATTCTCAGGGTCACTGCTAACCCCACCCCGATGGGGGAAAGCACAGGCGTGCTTCCTGGTGGCTGCTTGCCCACGTCCGGACGGACCTTCTGGAACGTCACCCAACAAGTGGGCTGTCCCAGAAAGTTAGGGCAGAGTCACACTGGGGTGGCTGATACAAACTACAGACTATGTCTAGAGAGAGCTTACTGATAATATTGTGGTGCTGTAAATAAAATGGATATATGACAACTGGATATGAAATCCATGTTTTGCTTTGCAGATCTTCTAAGGACCATCACTGTGTCTTGATCCACCCCAAACAGCACCCTCTGTTGTTCCCATGACTCTGCAATGGTGGCAGATTTGGAGGGGGACAGCACGTCCTGGTCCACTTGACATCAGCTGGCCCAAGTCAAAGGCCGGAGGCTGGAACCACCCGCAGGGTCACTCACTCACTCACACGTCGGGCCGCTGTTGTTGGCTGCTGGCTGGGAACTCAGCTGGAGCTGTAGGCCTGTACACTGCAGGAGGCCCTCACTGTAGGCCCTCACTGCAGGAGGCCTCTCCCTGTGGCCTGGGCATCCTCACAACGTGGTAGCCGGGTGTCCCCCAGGGAGTGTGAGAGCCACGTACGAGCTGCATCCTTTTTAAGACCTTGCCTCTGACATCAAAGAGCATCACTTCTCCTACGCTCTATCAGTCAGAGCTGGCACAAACCTGCCCCGGTTTAAGAGAAGGGAAAGATTGCTGGGGCTGTTTTTGGAAAAGACAATCTAGCACACAAAACATTTGCAAAACTGGATTTGGTTGGGTTGGAGAAGTGCTCCTAGCCAGGGTGGTACCCGGTGGCAGAGCGAGTAAACAAACAATGGAAACTCCACGTGTGCTCAGCTGTGCCAACAGAACGGACTAGCGTGAGTCTGAGAGAGGACAACACGATGGCTGCCACTTAACTCCCACGAGCCAAGCACCGTGCTGGCCTAAGTGGACACTGTCCTTAGTAATCACAGCAGTGTCTACAGAGCGTGCTATTGTCCCACTGTATAGATGAGGGTACCGAGACCCAGATGTAAGAGGCAACTTGTCCAGCTGGTAAATGATATGCAGAGTGAGTCCTTACTTCTGTGGTCTGGGAGAGACTAACAGGCCAAGGTGCTTTTAAGTTTGGTCATCGCTTAAAGCCTGATTGTCAAGCTCGGGACAAGGAAATGCATGAGCAACACCCAGCACCCCCTGACGAGGCCTGGACAGTGTGTCAGCCCTGCTCCTGGCCCTGCTCCCGTGAATAAGGGTGTGAGGGAGGACCTGGCAAGGACCACAGACACGACACAAAAAGTCCTTACTCCTAGGCCAGTATCAGAGGGCCCATTTTTTTTTTTTTTTTTTTTTTTTTTTTTTTTTGTTCGCGGGTTTCTCACTGTTGTGGCTTCTCCCATTGCGGAGCACAGGCTCTGGACGCGCAGGCTCGGCGGCCATGGCTCACAGGCCCAGCCGCTCCGCGGCATGTGGGATCCTCCCGGACCGGGGCACGAACCCGTGTCCCCTGCGTCGGCAGGCGGACTCTCAACCACTGCGCCACCAGGGAAGCCCCTAGAGGGGTCATCTTAATGTCATCCAATAGCTTCTCCAGGGTCCACAGGAAGCTAAGAATCTGCTTCCTGGCAGTGAACTCTTAGAAAACTCTCCCGGGGAATCATAATCTTCATGCGAGCCCCTTCAGTGACTTCTCCACAGTGGGTGCCAGCCCAGTGCCCTATTCTGCCTGAGAAATTATGTGCTCAGAGTCATCTGTGTCGAGCTCTAGAGGAGACAAGAACTTGGAGATGACCATTTGCGTCAGCTCCTTAGATTTAAGAGAAATGCTGACTTTGAACATGGTCTGACAATGAAAGGTATGACCCCATTCAACATCCACCCTACCGGATCTTACTGTGTGCCTGTCCAGGGCTGGGCACCCAGGCCATGGGATTCAGCGGGCACACCCCTCACCCCCGCAATCTCACGTCTGCACACAGTCATGTTTCCTATAATCGGGTTATTGTTTTGAGTCTTATCAAGCAGCCAGGTGATGAAGGTGGACCAGCCTGGGGAAGGAGAGTCTTTCCATCAGGACTGGGAGGTGGTGACAAGGATGAGTGCAGTGCCAGCCATGGGCCTGGGGCACGGAGAGTGCCTCCTTGGGAGCTCAGATGAATCAAGTGAGTGAGTGAGGCTGTATGAGGACTCACATGCAGCCAGGGTGCGCCCAGGCCCTCCCAGGAACCCCTCTGTCTCTGAAGACCCCCTTCTCCGCCAGCTCAAATAGAACCACTGAGGACGCTGCCACTGCCAGCTTTCCAGTTTCAAATCAAGAATCAGCAAGAAAGGGACTTCCCTGCTGGTGCAGTGGTTTAAGAATCCGCCTGCCAATGCAGGGGACATGGGTTTGAGCCCTGGTCCGGGAAGATCCCACATGCCGCGGAGCAACTAAGCCCGTGCGCCACAACTACTGAAGCCCGCACGCTGCAACTACTGAAGCCTGTGTGCCTAGAGCCCGTGCTCTGCAACAAGAGAAGGCACCGCAACGAGAAGCCCCCGCACCACAACGCTCGCTGCAATTACAGAAAGCCTGGGTGCAGCAACGAAGACCCGACACAGCCAAGAAATAAATAAATAAATTTATTAAAAAAAAAAAAAAGAATCAGCAAGAAGGTCTTAAAACAAAAGCTCATCCATTTGAGCGTCACGATGCTGCAGTTTACAGGTGAGGTTTAGTGCGCCTTGGCCACCTTCTTCAGAGCTGACAGCAGGCAGAGAAAACAGTGCCTTTGCAAACAATGATTCCAGTCATCCCCAACACCGCAAACACACAAACAACAATCCCGGATCTACTTTAACTCTCCAGGGAAATGAGTCCATCCAAGAGTCTCTCCCAGGCAGCCCTCGTTCCGGGCTTTGTACAGCATCTCACTGATTCACCATCATCATCTCATCTGCAGGGACTCTTAAGCAGGCTACCCCAGGACTGGTATTCATGTCCCCAGATTTTCTTTAAAGACAGGAAGCCAAAGCACAGGAGTGTTAAGTGACTGTCCGAGGGCATCATTTCTAACTGGCAGGGATGGGACCACTTGCACGTTTTCTGACTCGGTCCAGTGCTCAAACCAGTTTGACCCACTGCCAGCAGATGCACGTAGGAGCAGTGCAGGTGCAGTCCATGCAGTGGGCCCAGTGAGACGTGTTCTTGGGAGGCTGACCTCCCCTCCTGGCCAGATGGGGCAGCACAGGTGGCTCCATCTTGGTACAACCACCACCTTCCTGGGTCTCCTGGGCTGGCGTGCCCAGAATTGGCTGGGTTTGGGAGATCAAATTGTGATGAGTTGATACCGAATGACGTCTGGCACAAGGTAAGGACCCATTAAGTACTTGGCGAATGAATGAATGAAATCTAAGTACATATAAGAGTCCTGGAGGGCTTCCCTGGTGGCGCAGTGGTTGAGAGTCCGCCTGCCGATGCAGGGGACACGGGTTCGTGCCCCGGTCCGGGAACATCCCACATGCCGCGGAGCGGCTGGGCCCGTGAGCCATGGCCGCTGAGCCTGCGCGTCCGGAGCCTGTGCTCTGCAACGGGAGAGTCCTGTGAAGATTTCTTGAGAGAAGAGGGAGTTGGGGGATGATCTTCATGGCATGATTGTGGGATCTGCAGCTGCATTAGAGCCCAGAAAGAAGGCTTTCTAACCCCTGACACTGAGCTTTCACGTTTTAAAGCTTGCTCAGACCTCGGCACATTCAGAAGACAGGCACCCCAGGACTCAAAGGGGGGAAGCAAGATACTCTGATACGAGGAGAACGTTTTCCATCTGGAGGCGCAAAGGCTGAGGACTCTGGAAATTTTCTGCACAGGGTGCTGGTAACCTGAGAAACTGCAATACGAGGGCACTCTGGTCAAACACACGTGGGCCTCCCTCACCAGCAAGTTGGTGGGCCCATGGAGGAGCTCGTGAGGGAATGTTGGAGGATTCCACACAGGACTGTGTGGCCCTGACCGGAGAGAAGGACAGGGAGTCGTGTGGCTGTGAAGCCCCTTCCAGGTGGCAAGGCCGTGCTCCCTGGTTCCGACGATGCACCGGGCTGGGCATAGCCCGTTCGGGGTCGTTTCATCTTCCAGCAGGGCCTGGGGGGGATTTTAGCCAGCACTGCTGGGGGTGGGGCATCTGCTCTTCTGTCCTTCCCGCTGACAGCAGTATGGGCTCACCAGGTCCTGGAGGCCAGAGGACTCCTGTTCCATCTTCTATAACAGAACACAAGAACCGGCAAATGCCCAGGGGAGAGGAGGCTCTCCTCCAAGTTCCCCTTGTAGGTGCCCTGAGCCCAGAATCAATTCCAGAGCGCTGCCTGGGCAGATTCAAACGGCCTGGTTTCCCTGGGGCGCCTGAAAGCTAACTCATGCAGGGGAAAAAGAGAGAAAAATGATTTGAACAGAAGAGACAACAAAAGGAGTATTGAAAGTGTTTTCTCCTGAATGCTTAACTCATTTTTTAAGCATCATTTTGCCAAGCTGACGTCTTTTAAGGGGGAAAGTCTGGCACATCCGGGGATCTGTGGCACAGGACTGAGAGCTCGAATGCTACCAAGGGGCTGGGCCAGGTTTTCGGGATTGATGGTGATTCTTCTCAACAAACGGGGAGACGTGGTCTCTGAGAGCGATCGGCACAGAAAGGCTTTGGACCCGCGAGCATCGCACGGTGCCCGGGCAGAGTCCCTGTCCGGTGGCCGGGGCCTTGGGGGTCCACCCTGCTGGAGGAGGGGTGCTTGGGAAATGGCAGCCCCACCCAAGTGGAAGGAGGCGCAGGAGGGGCCAGGGCTGCCTCTGGCTGATGTCTGGTCATTGGTGGGTTCCAAAGGTAGAGCGGTTCCACTGGAGCCCGTGTTCTCCCAGGCTCTCCAGCTGCGTCCCAACAATGGCAGCTCCGCTGAGTCATGGCAGTTCTCGGCCCACCAGCCAGGATGTCAGCCGTAGAATTTCTTCACTGCTTTCTGGAGGTTGGCGTAAAACCCGGCCATGCTGCGGGGAAAGAAGGAGTCCACCACGCCCTGCGGAAGGTAACCGCTGAGGTCGGTCTGGAAGAACGTGACCAGACTGGTCTTGTTGGGCTCCCTGTGAAAGCAAGGCCAGGGCTGTTATGCGTCTGGAGCAGAGAGCCCGCCCAGGGGAACGGTCCAGACCCAGGGGTTTCGCTGGGTTCACTGCCCAGGGCATCCCTCTGGACCTGCTTCTTTTCAGGATGGAAGCGGGTCCTCTCGTGGATGCTTCCATGGCCCCGCCAGGCCGTTGCGCGAGGACGACCCCCCACTTCCAGCCCAGGAAGGTCATTCGTTCCCTGTGCCCGACTCACTCGGCAAAGGCTTTCAGAGAAGTCACTCCTGTACCGGGTCCTGGGAGGAACAGACACAATGCTGCACTCTGTCCATTGAGGGCAGCGGTTCTCCAAATGGTCTGGCAGCTCCTGGGGGCTCCTGACACCCTTTCAAGGGGTCTGCAAGGTCAGAGCTATTTTCGTCACAACACTAAGATGTGATTTGCCTTTTTCACTCCCATTCTCTCAGCGTGTACTTCACTCTCACGAATTTTCTCTTGGCCAGGACCATGAGGGCATGGGCTTCGTGGAGACCACTGAGCATTTTATTTGAATGGAGCTGTCAACAGCTTCCGGGGGAGGTTTCCAGAGGCCACATGAGGTGTGATATCACAACAGACTGAATGCAGAAGCAGATATGAGCTTCTGTTAAACCTGACATTAAAGAGATTTCCCCAAATGTCAAACAGGGCCACTCTTCACTACTTTTCTCCTCTTTTGAAAAATATGGTTACTTTTCACAAAAATATTTATGGGAACATATGATACACGTATTCTCATTATTTTAAAATAAATGTTTTTTAAATATCCCAGTTTTAATTTCAAGTATAGTAAATACTGATGGATATAATCCACATGAACAGAAGCCCTTTGATGCCCTGAATAATACTGAAGAGTGGAATGGAGCCTCAGACCAAAAGCGTGAGAAGGGCTGACTTAGAGACCTGACGCGTAACTCGCGCCCGTGTGAAGGGGCTTTGGCTGTGGGTGGCAGAAGCCCCGAGGGAGGCCACAACACGGAACGTGGCACAGACCTGTGCCGAAGTCGAGAGGCGGGGTCCGCTCACCAACCTAGCAACTCAGCGGACCTCCCTGGGCTGCACACGCAGTGGCCTCATGCTCAGGGGCACAAGGCAGTGAAGCCCACCAGCGAGAGTCAGATTCAGTGAGGGGCGCGCACGGGAGGAGATGGGACCCAACTTGGTAGGGACAAGGGGTCTTCAGTGTCACAAACTTCCCAATTGCCAGGACAACAAAGGCACGGGCTTTGCGGAGACCATTTGGCGTTTCATTTGAATGGAGCTGTCAGCAGCCTCAGAGTCTCAACAGGAACCCCACGGAGCATTGCACCTGCCCATCAAATGTTTCCTGACATCCTGGAGGTCAAGGGCTGAGAAGTGGAGAGCCTTTAGAACCTTGCCCTCCCTCCCAGATGCACAGACAGGGCCGGGGACCAGCAGATGAATGACAGTGCAGGACGGTGCTGGCTGGGCAGGCTTCTCTCCTCTGCTCGTGCCTTCTCTGCACAGAGCCTGAACTCGGGGCGGGGCGGGGGGGGGCACAGACTGCCTTCCATCCCAAAGCCTCAGCATCATCGGACTCTATTCCTTGCTCACCAACCCCCAGCCCCTCCACCTTTGCTGGGACCTTCTCTCTTCTCTCTGTTCCTCCTCTCCAGGCTCACTCAAGCCCTCGTACTTCTCAGTGCTGTCCTCTTTGGCCTGAACAGGTGAGGGAGAAAGTCTGCCCAGTGACCATGCTTTCCTCCGGGTGAAGACGGGGCTTGGGAGGAGGTAAACACGCAACAGGCCGGGTGGAAGAGGCAAACTCGGTACCTTACAGAGTGTCACGGTGAAGAGTGTTTCTCGCTTGGACATCATTAACAGAGCTGGCAAAGGGGGGCTCAGAGAGATGCTGGAATCACCTGGTCTCCCCATGGAGAAGGCTGGGCTAGATAACGGCGTCCACCACTGGTCCTTGTTGTAAGGATCCGTGAGCTAACACGTGCAGAGCACTCAGCAGACTCGCTGGGCACAGAGCAGGGCTGCATTCACGACGTGACTACGCTACCCCTGCTACAAACACCAGCCCCCCCGCCTGCAGAACAACCAGAACCCGACAGCTCTGCCCTGTCCGCTGCAGCCACTCGACTCAGGCGCCACCATCCCTCACCTCTAATTAGTCCCCTTGCTCTGGCTCACAACCTCGCCCACTCCAGAGGCATCACAGCACTGGACACCCAGCTCAGGGCACATACTGCTCCAGACTCCCCGCCAGCTCCCCATTCGATTCCGAGGACAGCGCCCACGACTCCAAGATGTGGGCCCTGCTCCCTCGGTGACGGGATCTCCTTGCCTTTCCCCCTGCTCACTGCCATCTGGCACAATGGCCTCCTTGCCATTCCCTCAATGCCCCTTGCCTGCCCCCACCTCAGGGACTTTGGACCTGCTTATCCCTCCGCCAGGAACGCAGTCCCCCCAGCCCCCTTCCATCCCCAAGGCTCCCTGTGCTGTGCTTTGGTCAAACGTCCTATCAGGGGGGCCTTTGGTCTAGCTCCCCCATCCCTCCCCGGCACCTTTATCTGGTTTCAGTTTTCTCCAAATCATTTAAAATCTGATCATTACAAGCGTGTACATCTGATATAATTATGGTGCTTGTGTTTTGTCTGTCTACCCTGCTCCCACTAGAATCTAAGTTCCAAGAAGGCTTATCTGTTTTGAAGGGTCAATATCTAGATTAAGAGCATAGATTTTGGAGTCAGATGCTATAGCTTGACCAGCTCCTGGCTGTGTGATCTTGAGTAAGTTACATAACCTCTCTGTGCCCAGAGTCCTCATATAAAAAATGAAGGTAATAACAGTACCTTAGAATTGTTATAAGAATAAAAATGAGTTAAATTATAAAATATAAAGAAGAGTGCCTGACACACAGGAGTGATGTATAAACATTTGCTGCTGTTCCTGTCACGATTAGTATCACTTCTTGAATCCATAGCGCCTAGAACAGGCCTATATTCATAGAGTGATGGGAACCATCACAGTCACAGGTTTCAGGTCCACATAAAATGCTTTCAAGCGAGCTGACTCAAAACCTCCACACTAGGGACTCCCCTGGTGGTCCAGGGGTTAAGACCCCACGCTTCCACTGCAGCGGAGGCAGGTTCCATCCCTGGTCGGGGAACTAAGACCTCGCATGCTATGCGGTGTGGCCAAAAGATAAAACAACAAGAAATATATATATATATATATATATAACATATTGGGAAGAAATATTTGTAACATATATAATAAAAAATGTTTTTAAAATGTCTTAAGAAAAACACCTCCACACTAGCTGGGTTTTGGCTCTAAGTGACCCAGCTACAAAGTCTGTGCAATCAACTCTTGCCATCTGGAACGAGGCATAATGATACTCATCAAATTGTATGTTCTCCCCAAGGAAGATATCCATAGAATTCAGCCCCTAAGGGGAAGGTGCGCTGACTCTTATTCTGAAAATTCCTCTGTGCGCGCGCGCGTGTGTGTGTGTGTGCGCGTGTGTGCGCATGGTGAGGGGAGCTGTGTTGGACTGCAGCTATGCTATTATTTTCAAACTCATAAAGTTTTGCTACGTTTAACAGAAGTCTGCCACAAGATGTCTGAAAAGCCAGCTTAGTCAGAAGCGTTACGTGGACGTGTGGGATGTGGGTTTTCAGTACAATGCTATAGCACCGAAACCCTTCTCCTGGGATTGTGCAGTGACAGCATCGATGTTTCCCCTGCTGGTGTCTGTCTGTGGGTTGCAGGGTGACAGGGACAGACCCTCAGGTACAGTTTCTTTCTTTGTCAACTTGAGTGGTTCCCAGGATAAACCAGTGACCTTTGGGTTATTATTACACAGAAAGCTCCTGGTAAAAACCTGGCCCTGGTGGCCCAGCGGTTAAGACTCCACGCTTCCACTGCAAGGGGCGTGGGTTCGATCCCTGGTCAGGGAACTAAGATCCCGCACGCTGCTCGGTGAGGCCAAAACCAAAAAACCCAAAACCCAAAAAGAACCTGGCCATGACCTGCGAGAAAATAGGGACAGAACCATTTCTGAGCTCAGTTCTGGGGCTGACTCACGGTGTGCTCTGAGAATCGCCCTTTAGCCCCGAGCATCTCCACCCCATTCCTCGGTGAGGGGTGAGGAGCACCGTGTGGGATTCGGGGTGAGGACAGCTAAGCTCTTGCCTGCTCCAGGCTGGTGGAGAGCACTCAGAACATGGAGGAGAAGACTGGGTGCCCAGGGCCCCCATGGCCAGCCTGTGAGCCTGCATAGACCACCTAACTTCCCCGAGCCTCAGTTTCCTCATTTGCTAAACGGCACCGTGACATTTGCTCAGCTTGCCTGGGGCCGGAGGGAGGGTTCCCCACATCAGAAATAATGACACTTGCCCACAATTCTTTCCCACGTGCCTAGAACCTTGGCGTGTTACGTCACCAATGTGTGTGTATAGGGTTCTGTAACATCAAGGCCTACAGAGTGGCGAGGCATTTTTATTACTGCAAATCATCATTAATGTTGCCATTGAGTAGAATGTCCTCAGTGAAGCCACAGTTAGGTCTGGGCACATCATTCAATCCAAGAGGTTATCCTTACCCTGGCAGAGGTCCACAGAAGCAACCACAAGGATGGTTAAATCCTCTCACATAACCTGGCTTTGGGGGACATAACAGATGCTCCACACTGGTAGCTGGAAGACAGAGAAAGACGCTCAGTGAGCTACAACTTCGGGCAGTTGGGCCACTGCCACTGAAGGGCCTTACCGGGCACCCACGGTGGGTACAGACCAGTCATCTGGAGCCCAGGCGTCCGAGGACGACCCTGCCACTTGGCCCTGAGCTCTTCCTACTGCCAACCCCCTGTCCCTCACACTCACGTTCACACATACTCGTGCGCACGCACACACACACACTCATGTCCACAGCTTCCCCAAGCCTGCTGGAATATTAGAGAAAACATTTCAGACTATGAGGCCTGGGGACAGGAGAACGAAGGGACCCCTCTCAAATCGCAGCCGCGAGAGGTGTGGATGGACACACAATCTACCCCCATGTGGAAGAGTCAGAGGAGTGGCAGGCGCTGTGGCTTTCAGCGGGACGCACCATCAAAAGTGCAGAGGCAGGAACTCTGCTCCTCGTGGGAAGGAGGGGAGCGGACAGCCCCACAGCCCTCTCGGGATGGTGCTCCGTGGGTGCAGGGAATCACTGCACCCTGGGGTTCCCTGAAGCCAAACCGTACCCCGCATGTCTAGGGTACAAACTATGCACCTCAGCAGGGATGAAAACGGGGTGCTGACGAAATCTGCGATTTATAACTAAAATTACTAGTGTGTGGACTCTCCCACCTCAGACCTCCCTGGCACAGAAGCTCCCCAAACCTGACAAGGGGAGGCTGGCACAGAAAAAAGGACCCAGGCTGTGAGTGCTCCAGGGATTTCCAGCTGGTCGGCTTTCCTTGAAGAGCTGGGCGGGTGTGGAGGAGACAGAGCCCAGCATCCCACGAAGGCTTTGCAGCAGCCCTGCCGTCACTCACCGTTGGAACTGATGGTCCCATCCTCATACGTCTTGACCAGCACCAGGTCCACAAAGTCTCTGGGAGAGATGAGCTTCATGACGGCCGAGGGGGTGGTGGTTCTGCTGACGCACTGTGTCTGTCAGAGCAAAGGGGGATCCAGCTGCGTCTGATGGCTGTGCATCCGCTCCCCGCCCCAACTCGACTCGGAGCTCATCCACCCTGTCCCAATACCCCAGGGTCTGGAAAATGGGAATAGCACTGACAGCAGGGTGGTGCTGTGACCTGGAGGGTCTAGAATGAACTTTCCTGGACGTGCCAAGGGTCATGGCAACACACCCAGCTCGTAGAATCCAGGGTTGTGACATGGGCTGCCCATGGCCAATCAGGACCACTCTGAGCTTATGTCTCAAAAGATCATGAGAGTTGCCATTAATTGAGCACGTAGTAAGAGCCTGGCTGGACAAAGCTCTCAGTCGTCCTTTGCAACTGAGAAATAGGTTTCACGAACCCATTTCACAGGTGAGGAAACTGAGGCTTGGAGAGATGAAGGACTTCACCACAAAGCTCAGGGTAGAGATGAGGCCTGAATAGGGCCAGGAGTAGGATGAGGCAAGAGAGGCCATTCCTTCCTAAGGCCGACCGGGTACTTGCCTAACCCTGAGAGCAGTGCCTCCTTAAATGTGTGTCCTGGGCAGCTTTCTGGTTTCTCCCAGCCCCAGCCCTGGGAGGTAGCACCCCTTGAACTGCACTCCATCTCAGAATATCCCACCAAGTCCATCCTCCCACTTTACAAGCCAAGGGCCCTTCAAACCCACCCCATGCTTTATCCCACGATTCCCCTCCTCCAGCAGGACCCCAGTCCTTTCAAGGTCACAAGGTACAGGTCAGGCCCGAGGATAGGACAGTCCTGGGGAGACCTCTGGGGAGCAGGCGAGAAGGTCTCTTGCCTCTTTGGCTATTAAGACTAGGGGCACCGTGTGTTGCTGAGAAAACTCTGACCCTGGGTATGAGTCTTCCAGGTGGGCATGCAATCTCTGGGGGCACTTGAGAACTTTCCAGTGGGCTCTGGGAGCACTGGGAATCAGTTTCCAGATGGCTCATCCTCCATCCTCCTAGAATGACCTGCCTGAGAACAGCCTGCACCTTCATGCAGGTTTCCCTTTCCCACTTGAAAAAGGTGCCACATACCCCAGCCATCTGGAATCTTCCAATCATACACTGTCCTAGGGTGTAAAATCCTCCAGGGGGCCAAAGGGACACTGAGGGACGCTGATTTCAATATTTAACCAAGGCACTGCACACTGCAGTTAGAATTTCCATGTTTTCCCCTCTCTTAAAGCATATATTCTTTTTAAAGGCCAAAGCTTGTTGCTAGAAACAAGGTAATTTTGCCTTTTCTGAATTCTAGTAGTTTGTAGTTAGGAATGGCAGAAGTGATGAGATTTTTAAAAAAGTAACTATACAGCTTCCACTCCTGATTATTGCTACAAAACGCATCAATCCTGAAAGAGAGTGTCTGGAGAACACGATGAAGAGGACATATTGGTAAGAAATGCTGAAAGCGGCAGCACGTGTTACAACTGCCACAAACTTGTGGCAGGGCTCTGTATCTCATCCATCCACCCATCCATCTACTATCTATCAATCTTAGAATTAGGATATTTGAGATTTGTCAAAATCATGCTGTCATTCTGTTATTACATTTCCATTACGTTTCAAAGGGCATTAACCCATGTTTCCTCAACTTCAAGCATTTGTGTATAATTATTTGTATACTATCTTCACAATTTTTTCCTATCTCTGGTAGCACCTATCCTGTTATTCACTTAATATTTTTATCTAAATGTGCTCACTTTTTAAAAGTTAAACTTATTTTAAAAAGGAGGCTATTTAACTACTGGAAATGAAAAAAAGGTACCACTTGGCATAAATAAAAGACAACTGCAAACATATATATATATATATATATATATATATATATATATATACACACACACAAGGGATTTTTGGGTTCTAATTCTGAGCCTGAGGCCAGCTGTCTGTTTTTTATAATGGAGATTCGCAAGTGTTAAACAGGTGTCAAAGGCACATTAGCACCTATCCCAGACTTTTCCCTTCAAGTTATCAGAGAGATTGAAGATTTGAAACGGGGTGACCTCCCTATGTGTGATTCAGTTTCAGCTTTGACTGTTAAAGACCTAATACACTGAATCACCTAGTGCCCCAACATTAGGTGCCCCACCCTTCAGGAAACACTGACATCATTTGTGATAATGAACTGAGATGTGAATTCTTGGTCAAGGTTAAGAACACTTGGGTCCTACGGACTGACCAGTAAAGAACTATGGCTTGAGGTTTCACAGCACCATCTACAGAAACACCCAAGAGGGTACCATGTCCACAGATGTCAAAATCAAGGCACCATTCAAATTACAAAAAGCCGGCAACATTTCCCCAGGGCAACTTCTTAATTCGTTTTGGCTATGTTTTGTGTTGTTTTTTCTCCTTAACTTCTATAATCAAAAGGAGGTGGATACTTAATACTACAGCGGATCCCAGGGCAGGACAAACTAGATCTTTGTTGTCCAATACGGTAGCCACTAGTTCCATGTGGCTATTTAAATTTACGTCGAGTCATGAAAATTAAGTAAAATGAACAATTTATTTCTTCAAACTAGACACCTTTCAAATGCTCTATGGCCACGTGGGGCTAGTGGCCACCGTATTGAACAGTGCTGTTGGAGCATATTTCCATCATAGCGGAAAGTTCTCCTGGGCAGCGCTAGAGTAGATACCACACATTTTACCAATGGAGCAACTGTCATCCAGCATCTGCCGCCTGGCACAGCGTTACAGCTGGCAGAGAATCCTGACTCTTTGGCCAGGACTCAATTCATTACCATGGTCCCAGTAACGGGCAATATTTCAAACTAGAGCGGATGTTTCCAATCCAGGCACTGCTCAGCATCCTCAGCGCTAATGTTCACTCTGCACTCCTGCCTTCATCATCCACTGCTATGTTCTCTCAGCTCTGTTTAGGGCAGCTCTACCTCTCTGGGTCTCATTGTTACCTACCTGTACCTGGGCCGAGGCTGGGTTTGAGTGTCAAGCAGTGGGCAACCTGTTTGCTGGGCTTCAGGGGCTCACAGTGTACTCCTCTTGCCTAAAGGTGTCACTGACCCCCCGCAGAGGGAACAGAGTCAGGTTACTGTCTAGGGATAACAGTGCTTAGAAAGACTTACATCAGTGATGCTTTCGATAATTTCAAAACTGTTCACATTCTCATCCCACTTATCTCGTAGGGTCCCAGCAAGTGGCTTCACACAGTCCCACACCTGCTCTGGTGTCCCATTCACAATGCCTTCTCCTCGGTACCTGGAGCACAAAGAGGAATGTGACCCCAAGGCGTCAAACTTGTTTATCCTGGGATGACATATAAGGACTAGAAGTCACGTCTGTCACTGTTCTTTCAGACAGCCTTGCAGAGAAGGGGCTGACATTTACCAGCCCACCTCCCCTCAGGCCTGCAGGAATGGACGGAAGGCAAGATTTCATAAGAATATAGTTTGAGGAAATGATGTAGTTAAACACGGAAACTTTTCTGGAAGGTAACTGGCAAGTTGATTCCAGGTGCTAGGGTTGACTAGAGTCTCTTAGGAAGCAAACCCACAGAAACAGCAGGAAAGGTGTGGCACCTTTGACAAGCTTTGAACAAGGGGTGCACTTACAGGTTCCCTGGAAACTCCACAGACGGCCTCCAGGAAACTGAAACTCCGTTCTGTCAAAAGGCACAGAATCGCAAAATTTTAGAGCTAGAAGGGCCCTTGGGAGATCACCAGGCCCAATCCCCTGTTTTACCGAAGAAAAGTCGAGAGCCCCAAGAGATGCAAATCTCCAAGGTACCCAACTGACATGTAGCAGAGTGGGGACTGGTCCAGGACAAAGCTGCCCCCAGGAGGATGTGATGGACAAAGGGATCTTATGTGGCTGACTGGAAGAGCACTGGGGAGTTTTCAAACCACCTTAAAAATCACCATGCATCTTGTTTCCTCGGGCAATTTATGTCTGTTTGTTAAAAATCCTAAGTGTCCAGTGACCAGCACCACCCCTCTGCCACCTTCCCGGGAAGGCAGAGGGGCTCCTGCTCTGAGGAAAGGAGTAAAGGCTTTGGAGCCTGGTGCTTCCGGTTCCATCCTAACCATTTACCAGCCAGGTGACCTTGGCCAAGTCTTTCAAAGAAAGGGACAGATACTTATCTCCCGGGGGGGGGGCCTTGTGTGCAAAAACAGACTCGATAATTTTTTAAGGAAACAACCCCCAGTGCGATCTCCTCCTCAGTCTAGCTCCGGAGGATGGAACGCAGAAAACCTCCAGGAGAGAGCAGCCTGGGGGCTTCTGGAACCCCGGCCCCAGGGAGCAAAGGCCCCCTCGACCCCTTCCTGCCCAGCTCCTCACTCACGCCTTCCCGGCAAATCTTCCATCCTGACTCGTCTCGCCGGTACTGGAGCATCTTCTCCGCCACCACCTCGCTTATCTGCGCGGCCAACGCCGGGTCCATTGCGCCGAGAGCTGCGCGAGGTTGCTGGCTCGCAGGTGCGGTGTGCGGTGGCGGCCGGGCACTTAGGTATGGGAGGCCGGAAAGCCCGGGCCAGCAGGGGAGCCCGGAGTCCCGCCCCCAGCCCCGCCCCCGCTCTAGGATTGGCCTAGACCATCAGACAGACCCTGCCCCTCTCTGAGATTGGCAGGGCCGGAGATCACCGGCCAGTCACTGCAGGACGCCCTCCGACCCGTCCGAGGCGCGCCCCGCACGGTCCTGCAGAACCTTTTCGCCCGTCCCAGCTCAGGGAGGGGCTCTGGGACTCCGGAACTTGAGAAGGCCAGTGGTGGAGAGCCAAGTGGGCCGGGCCAGGTGGTGCGCAGCGTCGTAGACTTGTGTAAGGAGCGTGGACTTCTGTGTTGAATGCACAGAGGCTTTCAGCCAGGCGGGAAGATGGAGAAATTTCCATCCGAAATACCTTTCTAGGGCGGCTGTTGCAGGGGTGCAAGAGGGAATGAGCGTAGAGACTGGGAGGCCCGTTAGGAAGCTGCAGCGATAGTGAGAGAGGTGGGGGTGGCCTGGAGCAGGGGCTGGGTGGTGGGGGTGGAGAGAAGAGGACCCCTCGTAAAGTGCTTAGAAGGTAGAACGTAGAGATCTCTGTGACAGATGGTGGAGGCCGGAGGAGCAGGAAGCATCGTGACTCCCACCTTATGGCTTGAGCCACGGGTGGCTTAGCTGAGCTGGGGACAAGACAGGCTGGAGGGGGAACATGGTGCGTTCAGTTCTGGGCACGTTCAGTTGGAGGTGCCTGAAAGACCTCTATGTGATGTCCGGGAGACAGTGGGATACGCTGGCATCTGGGAGAGAGCTGGGCTCCAGATAAGAGGTCGCAGGGTTCTGTGCCTCTGGGTGGCATCTACCTTGGAGGGTGAGTTGGGGGGTCACACCCCTCCAGCCTCCTATCCTATCCTCCTCTTCAGCGCTATAACCAACTAAATATTTGAAAAGGTCAACACTGAGATCAGTTTGTATTTTCTGTTGTGTGTGCTTATTATTTCATTTAAAGGTTTGAAAAAAAATGGTGTAAAGAAAATGACTACTTGAAACCCCCTTTTGGAAGATGTGATGGGCTGCCAGGTGTTAAGAAGCCGGATGGGGAATTAGGGAGTCCAAGTTCTAGACCTGGTTTCACCCACACTTTGCCATGTGCTTTTGAGCAAGTCACTTAAGCCTGTTTGCTTGTAGGTGAAATGGGACCATAATGAATGTCTCCCCATGCCACTGTGATAGGCAAGTGAAGAAATGCATGTGAATGTACCTTGGAGCCATTTAAAAAAAAAAAAGGACCAATAAGTTAACCATGGTTAAAAAATTAAGCACATCAAAATCTCATAAAAAGTCAGATCATAGTCTGAGGGAAAAATTAGAGCGTATTTTAACTAGAAGGAAGTTTTCTTAACGTACCAAGTACTCTTACAAATCACTAAGTCATTTTCAAATAACCCAACAGACCAAAAGAACGCATCAGATATGAACAGACACTTTGCAGAAAAATAAATTAGCATGGCTAACATGGATATGAGAAGATGCAGAACCACCCCCAGAGTTAAGGAATTAAAACTTAAAACAAGGGGACACTTTTTACACCTATCTGAGGGACAGATCTGAAGAGGTTTGTCCCTCAGAGGACAAACAAAGGACAAACAAGAGGCTGACAAATCTGACAGCGGTTAATTCCGTGTTGATGAGTATATGGAGAAACAGTTGTTTTTATACAACTTTATACAGTTGTTTTTATGCTCTGTGGGTGAGAGTGTAAATTTATGTAACCTTCTGGGAGCAAAATAACATGTATTAAAATTTTAATTTACTTTTTTTTTGACCCAGCAACTCCTGCACACAGATGTGTAAGATTGATCTTGCAACTGGAAACAACCTAGTGTTTGTCAATAGATTAAACAAAGTTACAGGAAGTAACAATAGATTAAACAAAGTTACATTTATTAGATTATTATGTAGCCATTAATATAGTGTGGCCCAGATGAAAAAAGGTGGGGCTGGAACAGACAGGAAATACTCAACAGAGCCTAGGGAACTAGAAGTATGAGCGGATATGAGTGGACTATTTTAATCAAGAGCAATTCACTCTCTATGAAGGAAACAAATGGTATTTTCAAGCTTAACTTTAAAATAACTTAAAATTATTTAAATTCTTACCCGCACCAAATAAAATGTTTATATGTGTACTAACAGGGAAAATATCCACTATATATATTAAAAAAATGTAAATTGAAGGACAGCAGTACTGTAGATAAGAATAAGAGTCAGGGCTCAAGTCCGAGTGCCCTGGTTCAAATCCCAGTGTCACCATATACTAGCTGTGACCTTGGTGAATAACTGACCATTCCAGACCTTTGCATCCTCATTTGGAAAATGAGAAAATTAGTAGTACTACCTCATAGGGTTGACATGTGGGTTAAAGGATTTAATAAATGAATAGCAATGAGAATGGTGCTTGGCATACAATAAGTATATATTTATATATAGTATCATAGTATGATATATATCATATATCATGTATATATATCTTGAGTGAGAAAGAGAAATAACTAGAGATGTGCTTATATATGATATTTTTATGTTTACATATATGTTATGTATGTTTATACATACATATGTATGTTTATACATGTACTATAGATTCGGAATATTTACTTCTAGAAAGGTATAGAATAAACTATTAACAGGAGGGGGTAATGCCACAGGACACTTCTTTTTCATTTTATATCATCATATACTGCTTAATATATTAATTACTAGCATGTAGGTTTGCTTAATTTAAAAAGCGTTATTGGGACTTCCCTGGTGGCATAGTGGTTAAGAATCTGTCTGCCAATGCAGGGGACACGGGTTCGAGCCCTGGTCCAGGAAGATCCCACATGCCACGCAGCAACAAAGCCCGTGCGCCACAACTACTGAGCCTGCGCTCTAGAGCCCGTGAGCCACAACTGCTGAGCCCACGTGCCACAACTACTGAAGCCCATGAGCCTAGGGCCGGTGATCTGCAACAAGAGAAGCCACCACAATGAGAAGCCTGCACACCTCAAAGAAGAGTGGCCCCCGCTTGCTGCAACTAGAGATATCCCACATGCAGCAATGAAGACCCAACGTGGCCCAAAATTAAAAATATAAATAAATTAATTAATTTAAAAAATAATTTAAAAAATTAAAATAAAAAGCGCCATTAAAAAATTCAGTGTAGGGCTTCCCTGGTGGTGCAGTGGTTGAGAGTCTACCTGCCGATGCAGGGGACGCGGGTTCGTGCCCCGGTCCGGGAAGATCCCACATGCCGTGGAGTGGCTGGGCCCGTGACCCATGGCCACTGAGCCTGCGCATCCGGAGCCTGTGCTCCGCAACGGGAGAGGCCACAACAGTGAGAGGCCCGCGTACCGCAAAAAAAAAAAATAAAAATTCAATGTAGAATATTTCTAGAAAGCTGCAGCTCTGGACCCTCTCAGTCTGGAGCCTATTAGAATTTTGTTTGGGGATAAAACACTATGAAAACAAAGCTGCGGTAAAGTATGTCTTGCTGTAGAAAGCGACTTTTGTTAGACATCGAATGCTTAAGAGATTTTTATACTTACAAAAGGGAGCATGGGTTTTAAACTTTTTCTAGCATTATAAGAGACTTTAATCTTTGCTGCCAGAAAATGCCAGTCCTGGGTATACATGAAATATTTGGAGAAGCAAACTGTTTAATCCTGAGGCCTGTACACACTGGCAGCAGGAGACGGGTGACGTTGCGACAGCTGTAGGCAGGCCTCTGGTCTGTTTTGCCTCTGGAAGCCAGGACAGGGCAGGGTGAGCATCTGGCTAGAGCCGGGGAGGGTGTGAGCTGCCCACAGAGCTGCTCAGCCCAGCCTGCGTTGGGCTCTTTATTTAGCAATCTCCTTGAGGCTGCGGTTCAGAGCTGACAGGGTAGAAGGAATAACTGACGTCTGTAGATCCCATTGATCAGATCCCACCCATGAGGTCCTCGGGCCTCCAAGTCAGCCAGTTGTCCAAAGCAGACCTCACTGAAGTCCTAGATGAACTTTAAATAGGTGTGTATGTGGCAGGGGGCCCAGAGACTTCTAACCCAAACCACCGCCAGACCATCAAGGGGATGGGCCCAAGTGTCCAAGTGCTCCAATCCTAAAATCTCCTGAATGGAGTACTTGCTTTCTACCTAGTCACTGATGAAGAACTGTATGTGTGTTTACTTAGTTAGCTCAGGCAGCTGCTAGGAGAATCGAGTCTGTAAGCACACATGTATTTATGTATTCACCGGTAAGCCACTGTCCGAAGCACTTTACCTGTATTGTGTCATTTAACCCTCACAAGTAGAAACATCTATTCCCACTTTACAGGTTAAGAAACTGAGGATCACATGGGGTGTCCAAGGCCACACAGCTAGTAAGTGGCAGAACTATGGCAAACATCACGCCCAGTTTCTATTTCTGAAGGTCACATTTATACTCATGCTTTACCGATTCCTACTTCCTAGAAGGATATGCAGTGGTTACCGTGAAATGGGTAAAGATTAAAACACATACACAATAACCTACGAACTCTAAAAAGGAGGAAAACACAAAAACACACACATACAGAGTGGCAGAAAAACAGGACTACTACCTCAGACTAGGGAGTTAGTCTTCCAGAAGTGTGTAGAAAACTTTTTTCTGAGTTTCCTGCATTCACGAATTCAGAAACAGGAGTGACAGAGAGAATCATCCTCAAGTTGCTAAGATATTTACCAGACTGCTTTTTTCTGAGAAGTTTTGGGGTATTTTTGATTGTAGTATAGTTAATTTACAATGTTGTGTTAGTTTCAGGTATACAGCACAGTGATTCAGAATATTTTCCATTATAGGTTATTACAAGCTATTGAGTAGAGTTCCCTGTGCTATACAGTAGGTCCTTGTTGTTTATCTATTTTATGTATAGTAGTGTGTATCTGTTAATCCCAAATTCCTAATTTATCCCTCCCCCCTTACCCCCGGTAACCATAAGTTTATTTTCTACATTTGTAACTCTAATTCTGTC